TACACTCCTGCCAATACCAACACCCGCCATACGCCACTAAGTGACGGTGACGTCACCACGGCGCCTGTGACAGGCTAGGTGCACTTTGAGGCCACGTGAATTGTCAAAAGCTCGTTGCTGACAGGTCACAGGACAGACCCAGCAGGTGCCATGGGTTGGCCGATTGAGATGACTGGCAAATGCACCAACGGCTGTACCTCCTACTGTGCCAACTTGCTGCATTTTATACGCCCGGTGTTCTGCTCGTTGTTCTGAGCGTCCCTCCTCTGCCCTTGTTGGAGAGTGACTGCCTCCAACTGAGCAGCAGCAGCAGCGTCCTTCACGATCCTCCTCCACTACGACCGCCACTTAACGGGGACGCTTTCGTCCTGAGCGCTGCTCGGCTGTGTCTGCGGCTGTAGTTGCAAAGGGCGACGCAGGCCGTGGCATCGGCGCGGCTGGAAGCGGAGGCCGGCACCGCCCTGCAGGCGTTGCAGGGCTGCGCCCAGCAGGAGCACTCGGAGGGCGCTCCACAAGACGCGAGGGCTGGCGGTCGGCATCGTGTTCCCCCCCCCCCAACCCCACTTGTGTGCGAAAATACGCGCTTCTGTTTGGGAAAGTGGACATTCGGTCCGGGTTATAGTCCGTGGATGCAGGGGGTCTCGTCACTCCATATGTGAAGGCATCGCAGCGACATTCCCGAGGCAGTCTTTTCGTGTTCTAAAGGCAAGTTTACGATCGTCTACACGCTTTACAAGTCACTAACGGGTGTTGTGTGTGTATATGCGTGGCCCGATTGAGCGGATCGGAGGGCTCCTTCCGCTGCCTTCCTCCGCTGCTGTGCCCACGGTCTGGAATTTCCTTCCTCTGACTGTCCACACTGCTGGCTTTCATCGTGTTTAGGTCCAGACGTGAGACCTTGAACGTATTCTGCTGCAAGTCTACCATATCGTCGTCTCAATTCCTTCTTTGGCCTGCAGCATTCTTGTTCTCTGTCTCTGCTTAAAGTTGGGTGTTTTTAAACCCTCTCTTCTTCAAACGCTCGAGAAGTGCATCTCTTTTCTATAACCCCAAAGCGTCTTGAGATGCGGTCCGCATTTGGTGGTCGGTGGCTTTAAAATGCACGCCGTCGCGTCTACGTCGCTGTCCAGACAGGACGTGGGTGCTGAAAGACAACAAATAATACGTGTTCCCCGCAACGTGAACTCGTGTGTGTTTTGTTGTTGTTGTGTGTGAACGCGCGGACCCTTACAGCTCGCGGTAAGGCAAGAGAGCGAGAGAGAGAGAAGCACTCCGACGGTCGAGTGGCTCTAGGCGATGCTCGTTTCCGAAGCAGTCCAAAGACGCCCGCTGCTCGCTGTTAAATCCAAGGCGACCCAACCTGCACCGCTGAGCTCGGCGCCACCCACTGTGGCGCGGTGAAGGGGATTCCTTTATTCCTCGCGTCACACCTCCAACCCAGCCACCCACCATCATCCCTCGCTCGCCCAATCCACGCGTATTGAATTATACAGGGTGTTTTTAAAAAAAAAAATTTTACCCAATTTCAAAGAAGTATATTTCACGATGGCAACATGTTACAATTACACGAAAAGTTACAAACGGTTTAATGAGTTATCATCATTTTTTACTTACCATTTTATAAATGCTCTATGTGCCCTCCACCTGCTGTACGGACAACATCGAGACGATAGTTGAATTCGTCCCAAACGCCTCTCTTTCTACGTTTTCCTCTGAGGTGCGTGGTCGCCCAGTGCTCTTCCCCGTACATAAACAGCAGCCGGTTTCCTCAAATTGTCGGTACCAACAACGATTTCTCTTTGACATTGGCGAATCAATGCCAAAACGCCGTTGAAACGCACGCTGCACCGCAATTACGGATTCAGTCTTGCTGAACTGCAGAACGCAAAAGGCCCCTTGTGTCACGGAGGGGTCACCGTCTTGCCAATGACTGAGGCTAGGGGCTGTTTGTGCGCTGGGAGAGGCATCTTGCGGTAATCATTTGAAACTCTATGCCCCGCCCTTTCAAGTGGTAAGGGTTTCACTCATGGGCGGGTCGTGGTTGCAGGGATATAGCGATTTCAAATTGGGTCGAACGTTTTGAAACACCCTGTATAGCAAACTCGACCCTGCGGTCAGGCGTGCCTTGCCGTACTCACTGTCGTCCTACTTGTCGTATGGCTGATTACAACTATAAACTAGACAATTGTTTAGTTCACTATGTAAGACCCACTGAGCTACCTGGCCACGAACGATATCCCGACGAAGTGGCTGATCATCATGCAGAACATTTATAGTGGCAGCCAGATACTCTAAAACGCATGTTTCTAAATGTAGAGGGAAAACCAGGAGGACTCGGAGAAAAATCCACGAGACCACGGGAAGAACATGCATACTCCAAATATAGAGCACGCGTCAGGGTCTGGACCAAACCCACGACTTCTTTTATACCAGGCGAGGTATTTAATATCTCGCCACGGTCTGCACGGTGCTCAAGGAAACGCACTCAATGAGCCCTTCACGGATCGAGTTTCCTTCTGCTGAGAGCGTCTGCGACTTCGAACAGTCAGTCGGTGTGCCGCATTGCGCGTCGTGAATGCGTGAGCCCCTACATCCCCGCCCGCAGCGCGCATGTTGGGCCTTTGAGCGAGCCATTGTCATTTTAGCAGCAGCAGCAGCTGCTATGATTTATCCACTTGTTATGAAGGCCTCCCCACGCAGTTGCCTTCAGACGCCTGCCTGCGATAACACGATCCATCTCACTCCGCGAATGAGCAGATCTCCATCTTCGCGGTGGTCGTCTTCACAGACATTGTATCTTCCACCGTTGGCTGCCATTCTGTCATTAGTCTTCCCCATCAACCGTCAACCCTTCCAGCGATCACGTCCCCTATTCCTGATGACGACCGCTTGTGTTGCGATCGAAACGTCGTGGTTTTATTTTTATTCACTTTATTATTATTCTATCTACGTGACTTTACCGAAAGAACCAAAGAACATGTGCCCTATCCAAACTCACTGATTATTACCATGCAGTCAATATGCTGCCTCTAATTTCTGTTTGTTCCCCCGAGTCACGTGTTCGTATGTCTTTTAATTGTAAATCTCAGATGTGACATTGAAACACGTGATTAAATGGGACTTGACATTGTTTTATTGAATATGGAACTGCATAGAATAGACAAAGATGATGGCGCGATTGGGTGACTGATATTGTTAGAAGAGCTGAAGGGCTACAGAAAAAAAAAAGATTTCTCACAAATCCAAAGTCGGCGTATTTGAATTTGCGTCCCCAGAAACGATGTCACGGGGCAACATTGGGTTTACTCACAGGGCAGGGTCAACCTACTTACAAGTCCTGTATAAGATTCACATCACCAGCGAGCCAAGCAAGTACATTGTCTCACGTGGAGTATGACACCAACGCTGGTTGTGGAGCGGGTGAAGCTTACGAACTGGATACTGATAAAGCATAGAACACACATACAGAATTTGAACACGTGGGTCGACAGAGCACCGCATTGGGCATTGACCATCCACGCACATCCATTATTGCGCTCTACTTATATGCTCCCACATCAATTATCCCCCACCTTCAACTAGCGTGGCGATGTATAATCAGTGTCCACGAACCACACCATGCGAGCTAAAACCATTATCCAACAGTGGATTAACCAAAGGGCTGTACAGGCATACACGTATAAAACTGCAGTACCGTGTAATATTGCAGATTCATTTCATCCGCCAGTGATTGTTAACCTTCACTGCAGCCTTGCACCCCCCTTAAGGTTCTCAATCGTAAAACAATGTATGTTAATAAACACATAAGTTTGATGAAACATGGTAGTTGTGCTTACGCGACCGTGCTTAATGTTTCGATGATTTACCTTAAAAAAATCTGTCCATGTCTCGCACGCACAGAAAGGGCATATCGCATGCCCCAAAGGTGAGGTGCGTACACCCCAGGTTAAGAACCACCGCTCTACGCATTGCTCCACGTCTTCCTTATGCACCAAAGACGCACCATCTCAAGTGGTCCCTAACTCTGTTGTGTAAATTGTCCACACTTGTTTTGCAATTCGGAGCACATGGTTGGAAATGATTAAAGCTAAAAAGCAATATATTTTTTTGGTCTCGAAAGCATCACAAAAAATCTCAACAGTAAACCTCCCTGGCGTCTATCTGGGCCCTATATTTACAATGCCAATCATTTAGTCGCTAAGAGCATCGTTTTGCTTGGCGAAGCATACCTTCAGGGGCTTGGCAACCGATTAAAGTGCGTAATACAAATATGTTTAGAGTCTTAACAGAAAATAACACAAAATACCACGAGACCTCATGGCACCCGTCACGATGAACCCCGATGCAAATTTTAAAAGCCACACGACTCCGGACACAAAATAAGGTGCGGGCCAATAAGCCGAGTGTTGGGCCAATGTAAATAAATAAAGCTTCCCAGCACACTTAACGAGTGGCTTGCGTACAAATATATATCTTTAAAATAATCTCAACAGATCTGTTTTTTTAAACTTAAGCCAACGACCCAGAGCCAAATTAAATACCAAGCCATAGCCAACATGAGTATCGTATATCAGAACTGATCCCGCCTCCCTTCACCGACCAATGTGTAGTATGGGGATGTAAGGTCATCCCCCACCCGCCCATGCTCAACATGATGTTGGAAGGCCTTGATCCATTGTTGAATTTAAAATGGCTGGATTTTTTTGTTACTGTATATGTAGTCATTATCAATCCACTGCTGGATAAGGGATTTCCCATGTGCATGTTGTGGGGATTATTTTGCCACAATTGGCAACGCTGATCATCATTACACATTAAAGGTGGAGCATAGATGATTGAGCATGGCACTTTAGTACTGTACAACAATGCATATCGCTGTACTGACCTCTACTGCCCACATCAGACACGCAGCCTATAACATCCATGAAACATTCCAGACAACTATTGCACATCTATATTTACAGATCTCATACAATGAACCATGAAAAACCACACATGAGTTGGCCAATCATACAAATTATATTTATTATAGTGACTTGGATTCCTGAAAATGCTAAAAAAAATAACACATTTAATTTACTGTCATGTGCAGTCTCTATATGCATATCAGTAATCGCAGTTTATAAACAATAGCGATGGTGTTTTCAAAACTGGGCATTACATTAAAAGATATCCTTTGCGTATGGCAAAGCATGCAACAAACACTGAGATTCCACACGGCCACAAGGAAAATATTGCAACTATCTGTCCCAAGTTTTTAAACTAGCGATGACTGCAATTTAATAGAATAACCCCTTTCTTGGGAGCGACTGTAAACAAAATGTGTATGGAATGGATACAGCATCGGCTACGTTACGCACTTTAAAGAAATGGATCACTAACAGCCAAAAACGTTACAGTGCCAACAGTGCCTACCTTTACCGAAAGGCGAAAATTAGTTTAAGCTTCTTCGATGTATGGGTAAAACATACTTACACTGTTAAGTCCTGCGAACATGATACAAATATCCTAGGAAAATAGACATCCTAATGAGTCGACATGACGACTTAGGAGAAATCAATTCGCCATGCCTCTCAGTCCTTGAAGACAGCAGTTATTTAAATATATTTACTGGATGTAGAGCTCTTTTCTATTTTTTTTTTATAAATCTTCCTTCATCGCTGACCACGAGATATATGTTTCTCTAAAGTCACATTCCTTGCATGAGTAATCTGTGAAACATGGAACATTTTAATTTCTAAATAAAGGTATGGCGCACACTATGATAACCGTTTTGAAGTCACACACTACAGAAGCAAACAAAAATCACGTCTTCCAATCGATATATTGTACACCCCAAGGGGCCAGACTACAAAAATCGTCACTTCCAACTTCATTTAAAGAGTAACTTAACAACAATGCGCACACACAGCAAAAAAAAAGCGAACGAAAACTCCGTTAAATAATCTGCACTCTGAAAATATGAGTCACACGCAACACATTTTATAACCAAATAACACAGCAATTAAGATTACGTAGGCATGTAAAGCAGCAAAAAAAATCTATGAGGAATGTGGTGATTGTCTTCCAATAGGGATTGCGAACATGAGGCAAAAGGTTCCAGAAATGCCATACGCAGGTGGTCTCCTACACTTCAAGTTTCAGGGATTCGTTACACCACTCGCACTTTGGGGCAGCCAGAATGCAATTCTTACGCAACATTCTGCAAGCACACACGGCAGTCCACCTACAGATATTTCCAATGCTATGAATTTTGTTTCGCTTCAGAGGACACTCTCAAATAACCTTCTGCCTAAAGTTCGCAACTTCTGTGCCAGGACACGGAAGGGAAATCGATGGGCACTTTGCTAGAGTTGCTGGGGGTTGCTGGCTCACTGCACCAGCAGCAGGCCGCGGGGACCCATCCCTGCTACTTAAGCCGGAGTGTACGGAGGAGGGTCGTCCTTGGGTGGAATCTTCATCACAACCATCTCGTACGGAGGCAGCAGGTACTGTGAACGCATACACACACGCGCGGCATTAATCATCATCATCATCAGCCATGATAAATCCACTGCTTGATGAGGGCCTTGCCATGCCGCTTTAACAATCCGAGCACATGCACACAAGCCGCTTCATCGCTCCATCTCCATAGTGGACACTCCCGGGCGTGTTCAAAATTGCGTACAATGTAAAACGAGTATAAATAAAATCTAAGAATCAATTCAACTTAAAATAAAACAAAACTTATATAACTGAACTTCAAGCGAAAAAACATATCCTTCCAAACACTAAACACCGACCGACCAATGTACATTTTGATTTAAAGCTTTTGTGACTGCAAGGATTCATATTCTTGGTTCTATCGGTAAAGTCGCGTAGAAGGGAAACAATATTGTTTTATATTTTTATTATTTTATTGTTTCCCTTCTACGTGACTTTACCGAAAGAACCAAGAATATGAGACCAATGTACATGTCGAGCCCTTGTACCAAACTACTGTTGGGTGCGGGCCTCCCCACGCCACGCAGGTTGTTGGGGTTACTTGACCGTACACAACACCACACTGTTCAGTGCGGGTTGGTGAAGGTGGGCAGCAGAGACGTTGAAGCATAGAAGCGCAGTACAGCAATGGATGTATTTTCTGCACTGCCGTCTGCTGCTGCGCACCACAAGACCCTAAGGTTGTCATGACACAACCTGGTTGTGCGTGGTGGTCAGTTTCCGACATCTGACGAGACCAGGTGCATTCTGGTTTGATTCGGTCACAATTCACCCTCTTATCATCGAACCACTTTAAACAAGGAAACTGTACAAAGTTCACACGGGCGACATACATTGATTGTACATTCACGTTTCGCTTGGAATGCATTCAACTGCATTCACTTCCGTGCACGAAGCTTTAAGTTTCACGTGCACAGTAAAGCACGGCAGTATGACAACACAAACGTAGGACTTAAATAACATTTCCCCTAGATGGCAATTATTTTTGTTGCTCAAGCTTAAGGAGATGCTTCATACTTTTTGCATTGTATAGCAAAGAAAAATAATAACACAAAGACCTTGTTGTTTCCGCGAGAGTGTCCGTCATCCCCTCGCGAGTCTAATAGCTCGCTATTGCCTTGCAATATTCGTGGCATGGAGCAGGCTTTGATATATGTAACATGTGATGATAAACGAACAAAACAAAGTTGAGAATGTGAAAAATTCCTGAATATTAAGAGCACTGCAACGCAAAGCGAACCTTGTCCCATTCTTCAGAAAAAACGCACACAAAAGCACAAGATGTATATATTATATAAGAAAAATAAACATCTCCAAGCTTCTCAACAGCAGGTAAAGGGCTCACTCGCTCGCCCGCCAGGCACACGCACAGCAGCAGAGTAGCGAAGGTCAGCGCGACGCGTGACAACTTCAGCGAGACGAGGCTCAAAGTGCGTCCACGTAAAATCGGCATGGCTCGCGTGACCAGAGCGCCCTTGCTAGGCTGAGAAAGGCGATGCACTGCCGAGCCTACAACTCCACCCCCCCCACCTTGCATAGTCGCTGACTCCTACTTTTAAAAATATCTGCAGAGAGTCAGTATTGTTCGGAGGCTGGTAAAGAAGCCTGCTCTTGATCATGTTAACGCTCTCACATCTAACCCTCACGGACTCAAGACGGTGAAAACACGGCGCTGGGCATGAAATACAGTAAAACCCCTCTTAACGACACGACAGCAATTGGTTCCACTAAACCGTCCGTTAAGTGATTTGCTCGTTAAGCGAGTTTAGGAAATACACGTCAAAGGCTTAATTCGGACTGATAAGCATCGAAAGTTATCAATTTTTCACCCAAAAGACTACTTTATAATATTTAAACAATGGATATGAATACATAAAGATACTAACATTATAAACACATAATATTAAAAGAAACACGGTTAATCAATGCATTAATATTTGCTGTACCTACAACAGCCATTCGTTAACAGGGGTGGTCGTTAAGAGGGGTTCTATTATACACTGCACTACACTGCTCCGCACCGCACTGCTCCGCACAGCTCAGCACCGCACCACTCCACACCACACTACTCTACCCTACACTGCTCTAATCTACACTGCACTACTCTACAATACACACTACACACGAGACATTGGGCTCTACGGAGGCCCATCGTTAAGCGATTAGTTGTTAACAGGGGGTGGTCTGTATATGGTAGTGCACAGGGGCGGAGCCAGGATTTCAGGCCGGGGTGACATTCAACAAATTTTAATTTCAAGAATGATTAGAGAGTCAGGCTGTTGAACTAGACGCCATCGGGTGGCGACACACTCTGAAAGTGCAGTTGTACGGAGTCCGCCAGACCGAGTGTCGTACACTTATACGCAGAATGTCACCCCTGTCACCCCCCCTGGCTCCGCCCCTGGTAGTGCAAGCAGTTGTATTGCCTTAATATATATTAACGATATTTCTTTACAACTTCTAAACTTGTCATTTACAAATAAAAATATTCATTTTCCTAAAGGGGGTTTTCACAGTTGATTAAAATTTTAAATAAAAAAATGACGACTTGCACATGAAAAGTGAAGACAGATAGGCAAGCAGCTGCTTGCAAATGTAGCTTGCCAAGCATATCAGCTGCCCACACACTCGACAAGTCTTATAAAACAGGCAAGAGTTTGGTAGCCCAGAGCACAACTCTAATTCGGCATCACTAACACCAGCTCAGGTAGGGTGGGCGGGGACGTGAAATGTGAGAATTCCCCTCTGGACTCCACTGCCTGGTCACACGGATTACCCATTGCCAGCTCGCCTCTACCGAAGACAAGGCTTCTCTTATTCTCGTACCATGAAGCCCCCCCCACCCCCCTTTGACGTTGTGCCTTTATAGAGAGCGTGGTTTTAACTGTGCTTGGTTTCAGATTCAGCAAGCTTACAATCTCGAAAGGGAAAAAATGGCCCCAGTGGCTTTTCTGTGTACCCTGCGCGGGTCCCTTTCCACACAAGAGTTGCATTGAGGTTCCGAATTAACCGTGGCGAATCAGGTGTCAAGCCAAGACCGAGAGATGTTGACTAAAAAATGACACCGCTTTGCCGAGCAGGCTCCCGAGACCGACACCTAACCGAATGTAATATTTGACACAACATACCGATGTGGAGTGTATAAAATACACACATTCCTGTAATCATGCGTGTCATTGTATATAAACATCTGCAATTCCTTTCAAAATAATTGTCACGTGTAATAACTGCCACGTTTATTCCTTGGGCTTGGGAGCCAGCATCATACAAACAAAAATCGATTTAAGTCGTCTAGATCACCACTTTTATACGTCTGATTTATTGATTCCGACACCAGATGAAAATGTCGATATGCATGATTAATTTACCAACAGGTGCAAAATGCCTTACTTCTCAACAACCTAATAACAATTTAATCGAAAACCCACAATTCATTGTCACAACTTATCACACTACAAACTGTTTTGCTGCTTGAAAGAGACTTCTCATTATCCTACTAAAATAATAAGGTCACACATTTCAACCGTATTGAGTTGGTGGTCTAAACCGAGACTTTTGTGCATTATGCATGCAGCCTCCGTGACGCTACTTGACGTGCAAGGCATGACGGGAAGACCAATCCAACATTCACAATCATGCCTTTCGCCGTGCAGAACACACCTTTGCGTGCCTACTTCTCAAAAAACCTCTACCAACAAGCATCTGTTTATCAGCTGCTGCAAATAATACGGAGCAGCACTGGGCCTCCACAGCACGTACGATGGCTGGTGTGTACGTGCACCATGGGATGTTGCACGAGGCACAAGTGTGTAAGGTTAATATGAGAGTGTGTGCATTAATGTGAGTGTATGCGCTTACGTTTAATGATAGGAACATCGTGAGCATTCATAAGATGTACATTTTATACGCCCATCATGTTTTAATAACATTTTTCCAAATAATACATTTTGTCACTTGAAAAAATAGGAAATGAATACTAAATATATTAAATATTTGCACAGGGAGTGTTCTAAGCCATAACGCACATGGTAAACAGGCTTGCAATTATGTCAAATTAATTTCCATCGGACTTCACTCCAAAACCAATGCATATTCTCCTGCCACTATTGTTAATACGAGCATCCAAACTTATTTAACACGCTTTTGTTCACGAATTAAATTATAATTTTATTGTTTTATATATTTGTTTTATTATTTTATTGTTTCCCTTCTACGTGACTTTACCGAAAGAACCAAGAATACGAATCCCTGCAGTCACGAAAGCTTTAAATCAGAATTAAATTAGCTTTGCATCACACACTACAGAGGCCTTCTATTTATCCCATGACAAAATGTAATTACATCCTTGTGTCAATACACTGCTGGATGAAGGCCCCCCCCCCCACGCTATATCATCATGGCGATTGTTAAACCGCACTTCACCACGCTCATCAGTGCTGATTGATGAAAGGAGTTGGGGAGGGGGGTTTGCGAAGACCGGTTTGGATATCACTCAACTACTCCGATTAACACGGCTGGCTAGGTACGGTCCGAAAGAAGTTCCACATTTAGAAACATGCGTTTAGACTATTTAGATTATTTTGCTGCTAAAAATGTCCAAATGATAAGCAAATTTGTTGAGCTATCATGTGGCCAGGCCGCCTTTGAACAATAAGTTAATACATCTCAGTGGGCTTTGTCTGGTAGAATGGGGATGGTTTCGTTTCATTTTTACGTGTTTGTGTGATTGTTTACCTTTCTCGTACTTTACACTGTCATGTGTTTGTATTGTTTGTTATTGTAACGTTCTTACCCGCCCCGACTAGACATCGATGAAAAAGAGCTTTATAGCTCATCGGATTCCTCCAGTATAAATACATATTCTGATTCTGCCATGCATGCACTGTCAGCCGAGTCCAGGGGTTGAATACAGGTCGCAGAGTGCAGTGGGCTATCCAATGCACCACCACTCCCTCCAAGAGATATGAATATTGGAACTAGATATCACAAACTGCTACACTGGCGTTTTCACAGACTCGATCAGCAGATGGCCCAACCATTACGTTCACACACCGCAAGTGACTTCGCCATTGGAATAGAAATTGCAATTTGAGAGCAGCTAAACCATGAATGAAATAATAAAAACATACTTATAAACAAATGGAATTATGTTATACAACAAACACGATAAGTTTATTTTCCGAAAACTCTGCTTTGTTTTAGTGGACTCTCTTCAAGATCAATGCATTGCACCAAATGTGCTTCTGTTTGGTAATTCCAAAGCATTAATGGGTTAAGGTCAGAGGCAGAGCCTAATCACAGTAACTGTTCTAATACTTAAATCCCCCAGTTTGGATGGCCAAGTGCAACAGGAAGGGATTAACTCAATTTCTGGCCAGTGCTTACCGCCAATGGATGATTATTTCTGTTACATTACCTACCAATGATGGGAGTCCGGGTACACTAAAATGAATTGGTAAACCGTACCTCATTGTTCTGATCCGAGAAGACGGTCATGTCTGGGATGTTCCTGTTCACAATGTACTTGTAGCAGTTCCACACGCAGCAGATCATGTAAGCCTGCAATGACAAACCACAGCAAATTAGCACCTACTCTTGAGGTTGTCGCATGTGTGTGGAATATTAATTGTTCGGCGGTCATCGGGAATTCGGATAAAAGTGGAAATTTTGAAACCACACGAAATACTGAACCCCCCCCCCTCTTTTACGTAAACGCCACGCAATGCAGTGAGCACTCACGCAAGTTGTGTGTTTGACAAACCTTGAACGACAGGACAAATGCGAAGAGCAGCACAAAGATGAGCACCACCCAAGTGGAGTCCATGCTCTCAATGTCCTCCTTGTACGTGAAGTTCGGCTGCACGTACACGATGACAAAACAACATGAATCAACGGGTCGGTTAACCACAGGTGCGCACAAACGGTTTAGTCACGGACATTTTTCACAGTGCTGTGAAAGCCACAAATGGTAGAAAAAAAAAAGGCTTTCCATTGTGGTGAATAAACGTTCCATGGAATACAAACACCGTCAGTTATCAATGCATTTCATTGTCCTTCACTTTCCGACACACGCTACCCGAGACAAACCTTCCTAACTTGCCTTTTGCCCGCCCTAGGACGGAAGCTGTAATATTTACGAAAAAATTTAGCAGAGTATAATTGTTTCTTATGTTGCGAAGTGGGTACCCCATGAATAATTCAAATATCACTCACCACTGTTTGTTAGCCATGGCTGGAAATCAAACGGAGTTCGCTGGATGCAGAGCGTAGTGCACTCACAACTAAACCATCGCTATAACATTTGAGTGCCATCTATGCGAAAACCCTTATCCTTACACTGGTGAGTTTCCAGTAGAACGGCTGATGTATGCAAGTTGAACTTCATTTGCATGATACGTAGCCAATCGCGCTACTCGGAGGTATGGAGGAAGGACAACATACTAAACACGAAAAGCAGTTGTAAAGAAACGAGTTTTTCAATCTAGATCATTTAAAAGTGCATAGCTCCAGTGCCTTCCTAATATCGCAAGGGAGAGCGTTTCAGACGGCCGCAGAAGCGCATCTGAAACTGTGCCATGCAGCGACCGTCTTTGTTTGATGGCCAGCCAAAAGCCGCTGGTGAGAGGGTGACCGGAGTTCGCGTGATGTAAATTACCAGCTGGTCCACGTAGTCCTTGAACTTGGGCAGGTAGGTGAGGAATCCCACAGCCACAAGGCAGGTGAGAGCAAAATCGAAAAGCTGGTAGCAGAAGAATGGAATGAGGAGGCCACTGCGGTGCTGGGAACACAAATAAAAGATGTGGCCATGGTCACTCCACTACTTCACACCAGAGGGGGCTCTTACAACATCCTACATCAACAAACACCACTTTATAGAATTTCCATAACCAGTATCTTTGATTCAGGTAAAATCTACCGACTTAAAAGTGAAAAGCATGCACGCACAAGCCAGGTTGCATTGGTCGATTACGTTTATGTATGATTTATTCAGTGGCTTATTTTTAAGTTTTACCGTGTCTACAAATAACCATTGCATGCACTCATTGACAAATACATCAGATATGTAATTAACACATGGACGTACTTTGAATGACCCGTAGACCAGCATCCCACTCATGATCATCATCAGCAGAGATATCACCATAGCAATGCAGCTGTCTGTAAGCAAAAGCATAATTAATCAGGCAGAACACCATACCACAAAAAATATTTCACTCTAAAGACGATTCCTGTGACCATATTAGCTGGAATGCACCTGACATCATCCGATCTCAGAAGTCGAGAAGAGTTGAGCCTGGACAGTGCTCGCGTGGGTGACCACCATGCATGCCAGGTTGGTAAAAGCAATTGCAGGGCAGTGCTACATAAATACAGTACACCAAATCCATTGTTGTACTGTATTTATATGCTCTCACAGCTATGCTCCCATGTTAACTAACCACATGAACGTTGTGAAGTATGGTGAAATGACCCACATGGCATGGGGAGGCCCTCATCCAATAGTTTAACACATATAGAACATACGTTGCATGATATTGGATTGGGGTAGGAATTCAACTTGAACGCTTTGCTTAGTCATCCACTGAAATATCTCATGATACACGATCTTAAAAAAAACTGTAATTTATGTAAATCTTGCCTTAAAAGCTTTCTTGACTGCAGGAACTCATATTCTTTGGGTCTTTCGGTAAAGTCACGTTGATAGGTTCAAAGAAAATAACAAAAAACTACGACGTTTCGATCGCAACACATCCTGATGACGAACGCTTGTGTTGCGATCGAAACGTCGTAGTTTTTGTTATTTTTCTTATTTTCTTTGAACCTATCTACGTGACTTTACTGAAAGACCCAAAGAATATGTAATTTATGTATTCACACAAATATAATATGTAACCATTCCGTGATAAAGTCGCAGGATTTATTCTGCTGCATTTCAAAAAAGATTAGTACTAAACAGACAGCAATAGAATATATTTGGAAATGCTCCTGATATCAGCTTAGGTTACTGAGCATGCATATGCACTGTACAGTAAATCCTAATCGTGTGCCGCGGTGGTGAGACATTAACTCCCTCGCCTGTTATACAGGCGGTCGTAAGTTTGATACCGACCCCGACACCTGCATATTTGGAGTTGGCATGTTCTCCCCATGGTCACGTGGATTTTTCAAGGGGTCCTCCGGTTTTTCCCTCCACATTTAAAAAACGTGCGTTTAGAAAAACCTGCTATAAATTCCCACATGAATAAGCCACTTCGTTGAGCTATCATTTGTGACCAGGTCGCTTCTGACAAAGAGCTACATAGCTCAGTGGGCCTTTACCTGGTACAATAAAAATAGAAGTAACAGAAGATGTAACATGGAATGCGATCTGTACCGGCAGAAGGATCCCACTAATCTGGTTATAAAGTAAACAGGAACGGTAATACATACAGAGTTATTTTTTTACTTGGCCGAGCTACTTAACATGGAATTCCTAAATTGCAGTCACACGAACGAAACCCATCTGCAGAAAAGGGCTAATGCAAACATGGAAATGACACAGACAAGGACCACTGACACCGAGCTTACCGACGCCGTCGGACATGTTTGAGTAGTAGCTGTTGGGAAGGTCGTACTTATGTGCGAACTCTGCTACCTCATCGGGGCTGATAGTGGCAGCCGCGAGAAATGACGCCATCACCAAATACATCAGCTGGAGAGAAAAAGGAACAAGATTGGGTATACAGTACGTGTTTCGAATACTCAGGCCCCAGAACTTAGTTCCCCACAACAACAATAATAAAAACCCCACTACACATTTACATTATTGTGTTTCACGGTGGAACGGGTGGCGCAGTGGTTGGCACAATTCTCAGCAAACTGATGGATGCCGAGGCTGGAAACCACAGCAGTGGCGAGCGTCTCCCCATTCCACACGCTTGTTTTTACCAACCAGCTCTGACCAGCAGGGATTTTTTTTAATCAAAGTTAAACTCCCAGGACTGACACAGCAAGTCTGGTGGGAGACCTTCATCCAACAGTGGGTTGGCAAAAGGGCTGGCAATTGTAATTGTATATACGTATTTTCCAATCTGTTATCTCCACGGCAGATGTTTATACTTGCTAATTTGTTATGGTCAACATGAATGCCACCATGTCACCACATTTTTTTGTTGTTGTTACGTTTAAGCGGATATGTTTGTCAAAACATAAGACATGTTGACAGTGCAGGCAACATATTACATACTAAAATAAAGCCTGGAAATATACATACCAATAATGGCACTTAATAATGTTTATTTTGTATGTGGTCCACAGTGTTCTGGAGACTTAACTAATATATAGTGGGATTCAAGGAGGGGACTGCGCCAAGGCAAGTGAGGGTAAGGAGTGTGTTTAATAATTATGAAATGATATTTGTGCTTGCTGCAAACGAAGTGCACTCAGAATGGCAATGGTAGGTGATGTGAATTTATTTCGAAGCTGTATGAGCTGCAATATTTGGTTTTTCTCATTTTTAAACCAAGTGTTGGGTGGATTTACCGAACCAAAGCAATCACGTAGTCAGACGTAATTATTGTCACGTTAACAGTCTCACCAATACATTGACCTAAGTGCAAGTTTGTATACAAACCAATAAAATTAACTTTCCTAGTAACGTAAGTCGTACAAGTTTACAAGTGAAGATTAACATCCGTGTACACAAGAACGTCCTACAAAACGCGTTGTGCCCCACCACCATGAAGCACACAAATGTGTTTTTGTAATAGAACACAACCGCTGTCCTTTGCTGCCAGTGAACGTTCATCAATCTAGAAACAACGGCTCCTCTCTACGACGGTATAGGATGATAGTCCACGCAATTAACACCGTCTGCGTCACGTGTATGTTAATGTACTGTGATGTACTGTGTGTTGTACTGTGTTGTACTGTTAATGGGGAGCGGTGGTATAGCGGTTAGTGCGCTGCCCTACGAACCCGGCGGCCCGAGGTCGATTCCCGCTCACGGCCAACACCAGTGACGATTAATTATCTGAACCGGTCCTGGGCCTCCCCGAGGTCGACTCAGCCTCAAATGATCACCTGGTGCGGTGTGTATACATCGCCACTAAGGAAACAAAGGCGGCCGGGTGTGGTGTTGGCCACCCACCCCTTCGTGTACCGTGACGACCTTCATAGGTGCCTGCTAACAGCGCTTGCCCCAACAGTCTGTTCAGGCTTTACGGGGGATCTTTATCTTTGTTGAACTTCTTTCACACCGTACGTAGCCCAACCGTGCTAATCGTGGAACACATGCGCCTACGCACACACCGCAATTTTAAATTGAATCGGCTTTATTAACGCGAATTGCACGTCGCGTCACGTGGGAGGGACGTGTTTAACAATAATCTGGCGCGTGCAGCGTGCAACGAGTAAAATTTTTATTTGAATGGGGGGAGTAAATTGGCAAACACGGAAAGACGGAGCGCTGTAAGTCCCGAGGACTGGAGTTTGGGAAACCCTCGAGTGAAGTGGGTGTCTGCAGCCACCCCGAGTTTCTCATTATGCCGCGGTGGCTAGGAGATGTTAACTACCTCGCCTGGTATACAGGAGGTCATGGGTTCTACCCTGACGCCTGCTGTTTATTTTGAGTTTGCGTCTCTCTCATCATCATCACGGTTGCGAGATGTTAACTACCTCGCCTGGTATACAGGAGGTCGTGGGTTCGACCCTGACGCCTGCTGTATATTTGGAGTTTGTGTTTCTCTCTCTCATCATCATCATCATCACGGTGGCGAGATGTTAACTACCTCGCCTGGTATACAGGAGGTCGTGGGTTCGACCCTGACGCCTGCTGTATATTTGGAGTTTGTGTTTCTCTCTCTCATCATCAACATCATCACGGTGGCGAGATGTTAACTACCTCGCCTGGTATACAGGAGGTCGTGGGTTCTACTCTGACGCCTGCTGTATATTTGGAGTTTGTGTGTCTCTCTCTAATCATTACCACGGTGGCGAGATGTTAACTACCTCGCCTGGTATACAGGAGGTCGTGGGTTCTACCCTGACGCCTGCTGTTTATTTGGAGTTTGTGTGTCTCCCTCTCCCCGTGGTTGTGTGGATTTTTCTGCGGGTCCTCCGGGTTTTTCCTCCACATTTATAGTATTTGGCTGCTATACATATCCACTCCATCAGCCACTTCGTTGAGCTATCATTTGTGGCCAGATCGCTTCTGATAAAGAGCTACTACATAGCTCAGTGGGCCTTACCTGGTACAATAAAAATAGATATAGTTTAAATAGTTCAGTTTGTAAAGTCATTCTCTCCTTAAAAAGACCACAAGAAACGTACAGCTGTTATCTTGAAGCTAAACAACCTTGGCTTTGCAGATCCTCACCATCGCGAATAAAAACTCTACAGAATAAGCCGATTATAAATACTCCTAGTATAAGCACAGCTCTGATATAAGCAACACAGCCGCACAACCTTACATTGCCGGTGGGAGTAGGCCAAGGTGAAACTTTCTGACGTAAAACATCACTCTCAATTGGGTGTTCTCATTATGCAGCAAACGATGCTTAATAAAAAAAACAAATCTACTGTAAGCGCGCTCTGTTGACGCCACGATGTTGACATTGTAACCGTGCGATAGTGGACTTTTAAAAAGTTTTAAAAAGTCGTGGCAGCAACGCAAGACGAAGCAAGGAACGAGGTCCGGCACGTCTGCTCAAGCCAGCGGTTCCACATCAGGAGCCCTTGATGACAATCACTCCACTGCTGGATGAAGGCTGGTGCCAAAGCCACCTCTTCACGAGGCTACCCAATCCACATGGCATCTCCATCTCCTCGTTTTTCGGGGAGAACAATTTGTTTGTTTGGTTTTGTTTTGTTTAAACTAAACTTAAGCATTCCCTTTTCGTCATTAACGACGCTTTAAACCGGCGTCATAAACAACCCCGCACTCACGCACCTTACGAAACACGAACGCAATAACCGTACACAACACATGCCGTTGTTGGATTAGACCGCGTAAATGTGCGTCGTTAAACCCGACGACACCACCACCACCACCACCCGACCCAGCCACCAATTAGTAAAGGTTTGTCACGTAAACAGAACGTGCACAATTCGTTACTAGTACAGCACGCCGGTGTGTTGGAGGGCAAATACACACCATTAACAATCAATTATCGTGTTCTTTTGAGTCGGACCGATTCGCTTCAACGCATTCAAGCGCGCGAGAGCGCGGCCTAACTCCATGTCGGTGAAGCCTACGGCCTCGCCTGATGCCCACCCCGGGCCTCGCCTCCTCCACCCCCCCATCCCCCGCGCGCCGGCCGCGGCGTCGGAGTCCTCACCGCGTAGGCGCCGCCGAGTAACATCGCGCCCGTGCGGACGTGGAAACAGACGCAGCAGCTGGTGGAGTAGAACTGGTATCGGAAGGGCGACTTGAAAGACATGGCTGGACGGCGTTTTAAGTTCGACTTACTAGAGAATCGGAACGATTGAAAAGCAACCGAGCAAAAGTGCGGCGCGAACTCCTCCACTCCCCTCGCGGAGTGATACAAAGGGCGGAGTGGCGGCGAGCGGAACCCACGCCTGTGGTGACGTCACCGCACGAGATAAGCATTACGTCACCCCCCTCACCCCCCACCCTCAACCCCCCTCAACCCCCCACCACCCCCCAAACCCTCACCCCTGCCACCCCCACCCCTCTCCACCCTCACCCCTCAACCTCACCCCTCACACCCCCCTCCACCGTCACCCCCACCCTAACCCCCCTCCACCGTCACCCCCACTCTTACACCCCCCCACCCTTACACCCCCCCCATCCACACCCTCACCCCCCACCAATAGCAACACCGCCCGCTATAAAGTAGGCATCGGTTGGCACGTCACAACCAGGACGGTAACGGTGCATGGTCACGTGACAACAGCAGTTATCATTTAATTATAATTTATTTGGTATAGCCCTGTGAACCATTCGGCTCTTGAATCGGTTGAAACCGCAACAAACAAAAAACATGAACATGAACAAGAAAACATCTTAAAGTGACTATGCGCAAACAACAGGATGTCTTCAGGAAGGGAGTCGCCGCACCCGTGAATAATTTTGAAGTGATGCCATCGAATGATCGATCGCAGCAGGCGGCTACTATCACAGTGCGGTGTCGTGGTTGTAGACTCACTCATACGGAGATTAAACTATTATTAGATTTTATTTTTACCAGGAAAGGCTCTTCAGAAGCTACCTGGCCACAAATGACAGCTCAACGAAGTGGCTTATCATGTGAAAATTTAAAGAAGCTCATTTATTTCAGTTCAGTTAATTTATTTTGGTATAGCCCTGTGAGCCATTCTGCTCTTGAATCGGGTGCAACCACAACAAACAAAAACACGAACAAGAAAACATCTTAAAGTGACTATGTGACTGTGCAAACAGAAAATCCAGGAAAAAAACAGCAACATTCCTGAAAAAAACACCGTACACCAACGCTGTGTGCAAAAAATCCCAGTGGGATGCAAGTCAAACAACAACAACCACAAGAAAACTCAGATTAAGGCCATCAGTCTAACTCCGTACTTCAACAAAACATACATGTCCAAACCAAAAAACGTTTTCGAAATCACCAAAAAATAAAGCCATAATTGCAACGTAACAGTTATCATAGGGACTGTGACCGAATTTTTACAATAAACTACATAAATAACATGTAACACCAAATCCTAGAGCCATAGCTGGCTGCATGAGTTACTCCACAACAACAGAAGCATCAGTCGGGGTATCAAATTTTTCAATGCCCCTTTAAGATCAGCACGCTAAATCAAAATACAGATAATACTTTGCAGCGTCATCCGGAGCGAAACATTTTATTTTATTTTACGCCAATGAATAGCAGTGGCAGTTAGGGGTGTACAACTCCTCTAGAGCAGTTTTGAGAGAATATCTCATTGGTAGCGATTCAAGTTGCAGTTTATTGGCAATAGCATTCCAGACCCTGGGGGCATCAATAGCAAAGGCCCTTCCTCCAGTTTTTGTTCTTTGAAACAGAGAGGAGATCCAGCAGGTAGTCTGCGATTTTTTTGTAAGTACATCGTTAATAAATAAGATCTGGTACACAAGCCGTCGAACATTAAGATATGTTAAGTTTGACCCAATGTAGAGATCACAGTGGTGAGTCCTATATGGGCAGTTCAATGTAAATCTTAAGGCCGAGTGATAGATGGAATCACGCTTCTTCAGTACAGTACTTGGGGCTGATTAATACACGATGTCATAGTAGTCAAGTAGAGGCAGTATGGTAGCTTTTATCAATTCCAAACGGAAAATTGGGAGGAAGCAGTGCTTGTGTCGATACAGAAAACCAATTTTTATTTTTGTCTTTTTACCAATATAATCAATGTGATCTTCAAAATTCAGTTTTGAATCCAGGATGACCCCAAGATACTTATAGATCTTGACTTGCTCTATTTGATAATTATTTAAGGAATGTAATTGGAGAAAAATAACTTCCTGCTTTAGTCCTGATGAGAAGCATAGCACCTTGGTTTTGGAGGTATTCAGGACTAGTTTAAGAGCAACTAGCTGATGTTGTAGTTTGTTGAAATCACCCTATAGCTTAGCAATCACGTCATCCGGAGAGCGGCCAGCAGTAATCAGTATCGTGTCATCTGCAAAAAGATTTACCCTGGAATGATCCAGGTCAGTGCCCAAGTCATTGACATAAAGAGAGAACAAAAGGGGGCCGAGGATGGAACCCTTTATCTTAACACTGTTTGACCTCCAACCATCTGTGAATATAGTTTGGGTGCGAGAAAAGAGGTAATTTTGTAACCATTTTACTGCGTTTTCGGAAAAACCGAGGCAACTTAGTTTACTAAGCAGGGTGTTGTGGTCTACTGTATCAAAAGCTTTGGACAGGTCTAAAAAAAGACAGGCACAGTACTGCGTATTATCAAGGCTACTGTAAATGTGATTCAGAGAGTCTAATGCAGCAGATGTGGTGCTGTATTTTTTTCGGAACCCAGATTGTTTTAGATGTAGTAGATTGTTGGTGGACAGGAAACTGCTAATTTGGTCGTTCAATAATTTTTCAAAAAATTTCATCAACGGGGCCAAAATTGAGATAGGTCGGTAGTTATTTGGATTATCTTTAGGGCTCCCTTTGTGAAGTGGACGGACATAGGAAAGTTTCCATTCTAGAGGAACTGATACTTCTTTGATGGACAGGTTGAAAATATGGGCTATAGGTTTGTATATTAGGTGACCAACAGTTTGTAGAGCAAAGACGGGAATACTATCTGCTCTGGTAGAGGAGGACCCTTTGAGGTAGGACAGTTGTTTCAGAACATTACTTTCGTGGATTGGCTGGAAACTAAATTTGTTTAATGTTTGGAAAGGGGTGTAGGAATTCGCATGAGCAGGGGTGACTCCCAATATATTATCAAAAAGATTACCAGCTTCAGAAAAATGAAGGTTAAAATTGACAATTATTTTTTGGGGATCTGAAAAATATTCCCCATTTCGGTTAAGCTCAACGGGCAGATTGTCTGGTTTGGATGCCTTTTCGATACATTTGATTGTTTTCCAGAAAATCCTGGCATTTCCATGTGATTCCAGGAGAGTAGAGAAAAAGTAGGCATTCATTGCATGCTGTGTTTTTTTACGCATCTATTCCTTAAAATCCTGTATTCTAGCCAGTCATTGACCAAATTACTTTTCTGAGCAAATGCCCAAGCCTTGTCCCTAGTTTTCATGAACTTTGTAATCAAAGGATCAAACCATGGTGGGCGGTTGCCTTTAGTTATAAATCTAACCAACGGAGCATGTTTGTTAAGAATTTCGAGAAACGTGTATCTGAAGGTCTCCCAAGCCGTAGTCAGGTTGGGGATATCACAGACCTTGTCAATATCCGAGTGAAGCACATCATTAGTAAATGCCTGAGTGCTGAAGTGTCTCATAGAGTGCTTCTCAACCAATTTAGGGGGGGCTTTGGGTCTGGCTGATTATCTCACCCCAAAAATGAGGAGTGATCACTAAGGTTATTACCCAGAACACCAGTCAGTGTGAAATTGTGAGGGGCATGTGTCAATAGGACGTCAAGCAGAGATGACTGTCCTGGACTTTTTAGGTTGGGTCTTGTGGGGACATTTATTAATTGAAACAGGTTAAATTCATCTGCAAAATTTGTGGCCACGGCCAGCGGGTTTAGCCAATTCCAATTTAGATCACCCACTAAAACTATTTCACCTTTAGGGAGGCCCCCAAAAAGCTCTCTTAGTGCAGATGAAGCTTCCACATCCTTCCCACTAGGCGGTCGATAGCAGCACACTACCAATATCTGTTGATTATTTGGGAGAGTTATTCTGAGAGCCAGACCTTCAAAGCAACATTTTAAACGCGTGATGTTGATTATTAATGTGGAGGGAAAAACCCATGAACTCGGAGAAAAATCCGCGCGACCACGGTCAAATATATACCAGGCGTCAGGGTCTGGATCGAACCCACGACTTCCTTTATACCAGGCTAGGTATTTCATATCTCGCCACCCCGGCGTCCATGATTAAGACAGTCATATATTTTTTTTATATAGAGCCACTCTCGTTTACGCTGGGGCGTCTCAGAGCAATTTACACGTGATAGGAGTGATTTATATTAATCACACATCATCTCAACCAAGGCCGTAGCCATGGAGTCAACATTTGTGGGAAGAGCTTTGTGACGTCATATTTGAGGGGTTGGGGGGGGCCTGACTTTTTGTGACGCCGTGTGACGAGCCGGGGGGGGGGTCAAAAATCGTCCAAAATCGCGTGACGTCATTTATGGACGGCCCCTAATCCCAATTGAGTACAGCCATGAGATAGATACAGTACCCATATTCTGCACTTACAGAGCGAGCCATGGACTCAGAGAGACCCATATGGTGGAGTATTGATCATAACCATCATCCATGGTATAGACTGTAAAGCTTGGTCCAGATGTCTTGTGACCCCGGTTTAATTCTCTCAAACCTAATACCGTATATATTTCGATTTAAAGCTTTCGTGACTGCAATGATTCATCTTCTTTGGTTCTTTCGGTAAAGTCACGTAGAATGAGAATAAAATAATAAATTGATAAAATAAAATAACACAATAATATTCTCACGACGTTTCGGCCACAACACAAGCGGCCTTCATCAGGTGAAGGGACGAGACTGTCTGGTAGGACAGCGCTGGAGTGAGAGAGCCACGTTCAGATCACGGCTTTTAAGCTGTGTGAGAGGAACAAAGAGCCTTAGAGTCGCGGCATCTCTTCAGAAAGGTGAGAGACTCGATTAGTTGAGCCTTCTTATCCCGAAGTCTGTTGAATGATCTTAAGGATGTGTGGAATCCCTCCCCGTAGAGGCGGTTAAATTTCGATTTAAAGCTTTCGTGACTGCAATGATTCATCTTCTTTGGTTCTTTCGGTAAAGTCACACAGCTTAAAAGCCGTGATCTGAACGTGGCTCTCTTACTCCAGCGCTGTCCTACCAGACAGTCTCGCTCCCTTCACCTGATGAAGGCCGCTTGTGTTGTGGCCGAAACGTCGTGAGAATATTATTGTGTTATTT